ATCTCTAATTAACTACCAAAAAAGCCAGAACTGGAGCTGTGGCTCATTTGGTAGGGTGCCAGCCTTTAGTGGAAAAAGCTAAGGGACAGCACCTAGGCCCTGAGTTAAAGCCTTAGTACTGGCAGCAAAAAAGAAAGAAAGAGGGTCTGGGAAGGTGGCTCAGTGGTTGAGCGCTTGCCTTGTATGCCTGAGGCCCTGGGTTCAATTCCCCAGCACCACATAAGCAAAAAGCAAAAAGCCGGAAGTGGCGCTGTGGCTCAAGTAGTAGAGCGCTAGCCTTGAGCTGAAGAGCTGAGGGACAGTGCCCAGGCCCAGAGTTCAGGCCCCACAACTGGACCCAAAAACAAAAACAAAAACAAAAAAAGAAAGAGGGGGAGGAGGGAGGGAGGGAAGGAAAGAGAAAGGGGGGAAGGAAGAGAGGAAGGAAGGAAAGGAGGGAGGGAGGTAGGGAGGGAGGGGAGGGAGAGAAGAAAGGAAAATATTTTTAAAAAGTACATTAGATTGTATGTTAAATGTAAAATTCAAACTAACAACTTGGTTCTGTTTTGCTTTGATTTTCACAGTAATTAACAAGGACCACCTTATAAAGTTTCAGCACTTCCTTTTCACCGTCCTGTATTATGTTCTATGATAGCAATGAGAATTATTTTCATTTAATGTTTCAAAAAATGACTTGTTTTGGAACAGAAACACAAGGCTCTGTTGGAAACCCAAAGGAGATTTTTGAACCTATTTTCTGCTTTAATTAGGGGCACAGAGACTTTTCAAAGAAAAGAAATGGAACCTCCATGCATAAATACTTCTACTTAGCATATGTGAAAACTGTACAAAAATCAATTACAATATGTACCATTTTAAATAGTTTTACTCATCACAACTACTACTGTATATTAATGGGTGCCACAGTGTTTTGGTCAAAGCAAGGGTTAATCTGAACTGTAGCATGGGAAATCTTACACATGATCAAGAACTTTGTCCTGAATTTAAACACAGTTTGAGAACCCATGAAGGACTATAACACAGATGTGGTCACCAGATGTTCTTCAGCCTACCCGGGAACCTGACTAAGCAGCAACGTGGCGAATTCAGGTTACACGAAGGAAAAGATTCCTATGACCTAGAAAACACTGATATGAGGAGCTAAATCTCCTTTCCTAGAAGCTTTTGTTTTTGAAGTATAATAATGTGTATATGTTTGGAGTGAATTAGACACACTCTTTCTGTGGTTGAACAGTACAGATTCTACACAAAGGCCTCCAGCCAGAGAGGCTTGGACTCCAGGCCTGGGTGCTGTCTTTGAGCTTTGGTGATCAAGGTTAGCACTCTATTACTTGAAACACAGCTACATTTCCCACTTTTTTGTGATTAATTGGAAATAAAAGTCTCAAGGACTTTTTCTAACTTGGCTACAAACCATAATCCTCAGATCTCAGCCACCTGAGTAGCTAGGAGTACAGCTATGAGCCACCAGCACTTGATGAATCATCTTTTAAAATAAAAATCTAAATGAGGTTCTTAACACTCAGCTGAAGCCAGATACACATATTGCTTTCTATGTCCTATGACAAGTTGGTAATGAAAAACTAAACAGAGCAGATTCTTAGCTATTAAACTGATATTGTAACAGTAGATGTCCTGCCATTTTCGTTAGATAGTTCATGTCCGCTCAAATTAGTTGGCACAACAGAGGATCTCACACATAACAGACTTCAGTTCTTCTATTTTAGAAAAACTACCCTGATCAAGCTTATAGTCATATAGAGAGGGAACTATATAAATCAACTATAATCCATGAACAATGACTTGTTGAAGAATACGCTGCGTATGTGAACCCATATAGGCTTTGCGCTGTGTATAGAACTTCAAAATGCACCCAGGAGAGAGGAGGGAAGGGGTGACATTGTTCAAAAAGAAATATACTTATTACCTGGCTTATGTAGCCGTAATCACTCTGTATATCACCTTTATAGTAACAATAAAAAATACACTAGGAGTTTTACTAGTATAAATATACACTTTTAAAATTATTTGTTAAGGCCAGACACTGGTGATTTACATTTGTAATTGTAGCTACTAAGGAGGCTAAGATGTAAGGATCATGGTTCGAAGCCAGACCAGGCAGAAAAGTCAGTGAGAGTTTTTATCTCCAATTAGCCAACAAAAAGCCAGAAGTAGGGCTGTGGTAGACATCCAGCCTTGAACAAAAAAGTCAAACAAGAGTGCAAAACCCTGAGTTCAATACTCAATACTGGTACACACAGAAAAAGAATCCATAAAAAATTAAAATTGTTATTGTCATTGTGGCAATATGAAAACAGATTAATGGTAATAACTTTTCAAAGAAATTACCCATAGAATAAATAATTCCTTTGTGGGAATGATTTATCTCAAGGACCTTGGTAAACTACTGAGTCATATATGCCTCCCTGGTTCTGGAAGGTTCCCTATGCATTGGCAGGAAGAGGGTTTTCAAAGCTAATGGCAAGGAGAGGCATAGAACATTTCCACCAATCCTTTACCAGAGCAAAACATCATTGAGAAAGTTCATAGACCTGCCATGGCAATTAACATGGATGTTACTATGTGATATAGACAATACAGAAGTTTTAGAGTAAGGCATTAGTGGCTCACACCTGTAATCCTAGCTACTCAGAGGCTGAGGTTCAAAGCCTACTCAGGAGGATTGAGGTTTAAAACCAGCTTGGGCAGGAAAGTCCAGGAGACTCTCACTTTCAATTAACTAGCAAAAGCCAGAAGTGGAGGTGTGGCTCAAATGATAGAGCACCAGCCTGAAGCAAAAAAAAAAAAGGTTCAGGACCAAAGCCCTGAGTTAAAGCCCCAGTATTGGTAGAGGTGTGGAGGGAGGGGAAGAGGAGGAAGAAGAGGAAAAGGAAGAGAAAGAGGAGGGAGGGAGGGAAGGAGTGAAAAAAGAAGGGAAGGAGGTAGAGAAGAAAGGAAAGAAGGAAGGAAGGAAGGAAAGAAGGAAGGAAGGAAGGAGAGAGGGAGGGAGGGAGGGAGCTGCTTTAGAATTACTAGGATTTGGATCTTAGTGAGATTATGCTTTGAGACAAGGGAGATTATGGGTAGAAACGACAGTTGGGAAACTGTACACATCTGACAGTACTGTTTTGTGCACACAATGGAGCAAATTACAGATTTGCGGCACAATAATTACTTTCCCAAGCCAGAATGTTGTCTTAGCAAGTTAGGACTGTGCAGGAAGCCAGTTCCACTGCCTTATTTAAGGATCTTCAGGACCTGCCACAAACACACAGAGCACCAAGCTCTCAATGGTTCTTTTTTTTTTTTTTTTTTTTTGGTCCGGTCGTGGGGCCTGAACTCTGGGCCTGGGCACTGTCCCTCAGCTCTTCAGCTCAAGGCTACCACTCTACCACTTGAGCCACATCGCCACTTCCGGCTTTTTTCTTTGTGCTTATGTGGTGCTGAGGAATCGAACCCAGGGCCTCATGCATGCAAGGCAAGCGCTCTACCACTGAGCCAACTTCCCAGCCCCTCAATGGTTCTTTAAAAGCAACCACATCCCAGTGCACCTGGAGGTTAAAGCAGAGCTCGAGATAAAAAGAAATCCCTCTTTCCTGCAGGTCTACTCTCAAGAACACTAACCCACCATCTTGTGGGTCTTCGGACATCTAAGGCCATTGGAAAGCTGCCCAATTCATCCACTCTGGACCCACAGGCCTTCAAAGTTGGCCTCATTTACCAGGGACTATGTGGTATGAACTTCAAGACATAATCTTTCCAAACTCTTGAATCCTTGGTTTGCATCTTAAATGCTTCAGTTCCTTCCATACATTTGACTATTTTCAGAGACTAGGTAACTCTGTTACTTCTATTATCCCTTGAGTGTAGTAGCATGTAAGAGGCATATAATCTGGGGTGCTGGATTGCCTGTTTTACTCTCTCTCTCTCTCTCTCTGCAGCAAGTTGAGGCCGGAGCCTCACACATGCTTTATCAAGTGCTCTACCATTGCTACCATTGAGCTACACATTCAGTCTTTCTCTCTGCCCCCCTCCCTCTCTTTCTTCTGCTATTGTGTGTAATGGTGAGTAAAGCACTTAATTCTATCCTTCAGTTCTCTCACCCGTGAAATGGGCAATAATACCCATTAGCTCATGAGGTTATTCTGAGGATTAAAGTAACTTGATATATATAGTATATGCTTAGAATAGTGTCTGGCTCATAGGTAAATGTTATCACCAATGTGACACCTGCTGAACACCAACCGATTCACCTAAAGCGAATCACTTTATCCATACACCATCACTTTCATCTTGGTATGGGGAACTGAAGAAGCAATTCATTTAACTGGGAAATAACCAACACAGATTCGAACCCTGGCTCTTCAGTAACAAACAAGAATTGCTCCAGTTAATTGTTTCACAGATTATGACTGCCTAGAGTGCCTAAAGATTTGGTCTTTGCTCTCACGTAGCTACAGTTGCCATAGTTTCTACATCTACAGTACTGCCTAGATATAAGAGTCCCCGCTCAATGACTTATTTGATGAGAACTAAATAAACCAATATGTTCCAGTGTACAAATAGCCAATAAACGGGATAGCTTTCTTTCACAGAAGCCACATTAGGTGACTAAGTCCCGACTGCAGATTTTCAGGCTGTCACCGAGGACTCTGCTGTCAAAGAATAGAGAAGGGCAGGCCTGGCTTCACACCAGTGAGGGGCCAGCACTTATCTGAGTCTGTTGGTTCACCTGTACATGGGAGACAGTGCTGCTGAACTGTTGATGAGACATTGTAGCGGATATTAAATGTTATTTATCAAAAGATTAGTGTTAATGGAGGGAGTGCGATCCCTGGAATATTCAACACGTTCAGCTTCCCTTTCCCCCTAGAGCAGCGCTACCTCCCCACAGCTTCTGCATTTTCTGTCGGAGGAGTTTAACTGTAGAGGAAAGGGGCAGCTCCAGTCGCCTTCCCTTTAAAAGACACGGGAAGCCCCGCCCACTACGGGAGGCGAAACGGGTTTCGCGGCTGCGCCGGTTCGCGGGCTCCCTAAGCCGGACAGTACCGACAGCCGCCGACCCCGGGACAGGTAAGACTAGGGCAGTGAGAGACGAGAGGCCAGAGACGTGGCCTCGGGGGCCGTCCCTGCAGAGGGAGCGGCACCGCGCTCGGCCGCGTGTCCCCGGAAGGTCAGCTCCACCCTGGGCGGCCGTGCGGAGGGCGGGGAGGCTTCGCGGGGCCTGGGACTCAGCCGGGCTCTAAAGCCGCCGTCGGACCCAGTGCGGCTTCTCAGGGGCGGGTAACCTGAAGCCCTCCCGGGCCAGTCCCGGCCGCGCTACGCCTCGCCGGCCCGCTCTCGCGCACGTACGTAAGTACGTACTCGCGCACTCCCGCGGGACGTCCCCACTTCCCTCCTGGCAGAGGCGTGTCGCGGGCCCGAGGTGGGCGTGGCCTCAGGTGGGCGTGGCCGCCCCTTGGAGACTTAGGTCCGCTCTTGCCGGAAGTGCTTGCTGCCTGCTCGGGGACTTGTCTGGGTTCCAGGAGCAGCTACTGCACTGAAAGGCTGGGCAGGGGGATTTTGCTTGCTGCCAGGTGCTGCACGTGGACATCTTAGTGGGAGAAGTTGCGGAATGAAGGATTAAAAAAAAAAAGCCCCATTCATCGTTTAGAATGTTCTAAAACAACCGGGCTTCTGTGGCTCAAGCCTGTAATCCTAGCTACCCAGAAGACTGAGATCTGAGGCTCGAGGTTCAAAGCCAGCCGTGGCTGCAAAAGTCCGGGAGCTTCTTCTCTCCAATAAATCACCAGAAAGACGGAAGTGGCGCTGTGGCTCAAAGTGGTAGAGTGCAGGGACAGCTCCCAGGGCCCTGGGTTCAAGCCCCATTACCGACAAAAAAAAAATAGTTTTAAAGGATCCTGAAAGAAGTAAAACAAGTTGTTTTAACCCAGAAGCTGTGATTCATGCACGTGTTATGGAAGGCTTCAGTCTAACTACAGAGGGTGGCTGGCAGGATGTGCAAAATCAACTACTGTTTACTGTGCTAGGCTCTTTACTAATGAATTTACCACACTTGTTCCCTGTTTCACAACTTATGGTCAGTGAAGGAGAGTAATAGTGTATCACAAAATTTTAGTGTTGGTGTTATAAGGGAAGGAGAAACTGGATTATGGAAACATTCTTAAGATCAACAAACACTTGGGGGAGGCGAGAGATCCTGTTTATAGTGTGGGAGATAATCAAAATAATGCCCTGAGAAAAAGAGTGGAGACATGTATCTGGGTTTTCTAAACCAAGGGAAAGATTAGAGTAGGGTGTGGTTTGGGCAGTACAAGAACCTGAGGCAGTAGAAGTTGAGAGGATAATGAGCAAGACTTTGGGTGTAGGGACAACAGGGCAGTGGAGCCTAGCAAGAGATGAATGATCTTACAACAGAGGTAGCAGAGGATATGGAGAGAAGTCGATGGATTTGACTGGGATTTGGAAGTAAATGAGACATGGTATTGGGATGACGGTGAAAATGAAAGGGCTGAAATGTCAAAGGGAACATTTGTCTCTGATGCACAATCACTGAAATACTGAGTTGTGGAAGAGGACATGGCCATTTAGATGATTAACATGCAGGAGGAAGCCCAACTTGATGCTGAGTCTTTAGTTCTGGGTTTACAAGGTTCTCAAACATTTCTTGATGGTTATTTCAATTTTATAGCTAAAGGAATGGGGTTAAGTAATTGACCAAAGATATATGTGGACTCTTCTCAATGTTGTAAGAGAGACTTATAGCTCTTACATGTCTTAACCTCATTATGGAGAGTGCTTTGTGTTCCAAATGGAAGAGCAAAACTGGAGCCAAGGGAGCATAGCATGAAGGCCCAGTAGGCATAGTGCAAGCTCAGGCTAAAATGTGACAGAGGGGACAGCTCACTGTCAGAGTCAAGGACTTTTTTTTAATGTGTGTGCTAGTACTGGGGCTTGAACTTAGGGCCTGGGCACTGTCTGTAAGCTTTTTTTCTTCTCAAGACTGATGCTCTCTCACATGAACCATGGCTCTGCTTCCAGCTTTTTTATTGCTAATTGGAGATAAGAGTCTCTTAGACTTTTCTGCTTAGGCTAACTTGGAACCTTGATCTGAGATCTCAACCTCTTGAGTAAATAGGTGTGAGCCATTAGTACCCAGCTCAAGGATATTTTGAAACTCCTTTAAATGGTGGGAGAGAGAATTCTTAAGAGTGATAGAAATAGCCAAAATTAATTTCAGAAATATGTAGTCATGTGAATCTGTAATTCTAATCAATCTTTCCTGGAATAAATAGACATCAATATGAGCTTGTGAATAAGTATCAACAAGTAAGAAAGAAGAACAATGAGTGAACAAATAATCAAAAGCATTTCATCTGTTCAGTCTATATAGTTTCCCCACACACTCATATCTACTATGCTATTTATTTATATATTTCAGGAAGTTTCCTTGCAAATACACTAATAGTACCTCACAAAAGGTACAAAACAATGTGTTGGTAAGGGCAATGCAAATGTCCAATAGAGCACAATAATTTAGTTATTTTTAAGGGCATAAAAATGTTCTTGGAAGTTTTATTCATAAGAACCTAATCCAAACTGCCTAGGTGTTATTTTTCAAACTTCAGTATGTTCTTAGAAATCAAGAGTCAGGTGCTGATGGCCCATTCTTTTTTTTTTTTTTGGGTCCGGTCGTGGGGCCTGAACTCTGGGCCTGGGCGCTGTCCCTCAGCTCTTCAGCTCAAGGCTAGCACTCTACCACTTGAGCCACAGCACCACTTCTGGCTTTTTTCTTTTTGCTTATGTGGTGCTGAGGAACTGAACCCAGGGCCTCATGCATGCAAGCGAAGCGCTCTACCACTGAGCCACCTTCCCAGCCCCGTGGTGGCCCATTCTTGTACCTAGCTATTCAGGAGACTGAGGTCTGAGGATCCTTGTTCTAAGCTAGCCTGGGCAGATAAATCTGAGAGACTTTTATCTGCAATTAACCATTAAAAAGCCAGACAGGTATGTGGCTCAGGCTTTGTATTTTTTGAAAAAGCCAAGCAGGAGTGAGAGGCCCTGAGTTCAAGTCCTAGTAATAACATAATAAAGTAAAATTAAAACTAAAAAGCCTCATGCCAGTGGCTCATGCCTGTTACCTAGCTACTCAGGAGGCTGAGATCTGAGGGTTGTGGTTTGAAGCCAGCTCAGGCAGGAGTTTGTGAGATTTTTGTCTTCAGTTAACCACCAAAAAACTGGAAGTGGAGCTGTGGCTCAAGTGGTAGAATGCTAGCCTTGAACAACTGGTACAACACCAAGGCCTTGAGTTCAAGTTCCAGGACTGGCACAGGAAGGAGGAGGAGGAGGAAGAAAAAAAAAAGAAATCAAAAGGATCTAGTTAATGACAAGAGAAGGGATGAATCCTGAAAACATTACATTTAGATGTCTTATACTAAAGAGTACCTACAGTTTAATTCTATTTATATGAGGTCAGACAATGATGGGGAAAAAATAAGAATAACAGATGCTCTCAGGCAGGATGGAGGCCAACTTGGAAAAGACATGATAGAACTTTCTGGATAGTAATGATGTTAATAGTTTACACTACTCACGATATGCTTAATTAAGATTTGTACACTTCATTGTATGTAAATTACCTCAAAAGCAAAGAACTGTAAACAAATGTTTAACATGTATTATATTTATGCCAAAGTTTTTGGCATTCTCAAAAGTATTAAAATGTACCAAAACAAAATGAGTAGAAAGAGAAATAGACTGATGAAGCAAAGATGACATGTTGTGAATTATAGAATCTAGGTGGTAAGCATTCGGGTTTTCTTTGCTGTAAAGACTTTCAACTTCTTTGCATGTTTAAACATTTTCATAAAAAATACTTCCAGCTTTTTGGTAGTTAATTAGAGATTATATGAGTCTCCTGTGTTATCTGCCTAAGCTGGCTTTGAACAAGGATCTTCAGATCTCAGCCTCCTAGGTAGTTAGGATTACAGGTATGAGCCACTGGTGCTTAGCTAATGGCTTAATATTTAAATAATTTCTATTTCTCATTGTGAGGTTCATACATTAAAATTACTGTGTATTCTTTGGAACAATGCAATTGACATTGTATTCACTTATCATACTAGGACAGTCATTGAATGCTTAATAGGCATCCTAATTCCTCATTTTTAAGTATTTCAGTGAGTATGTAAGTACATAAGGAACAAATAAAATGTGTGTTTGAGCCAGTTACCAAATTTAAAGCAGATTCTTACAACACAGTATGAACTGAGTAAAGTCATCACATCAGAAATAGCTCTCTGCTACTATGTAATTAAGTAATTTGTAGGTAATTTTAAGTAATCAACTTTAAAATACCTGCCTTTTAGAATATTATGGCTGTTTCAGGCAGTATATTCTTGGGAGAGAAATCCCCCCATATTGCCATATGAACATAAATCCCTTTATTTTTTACTTACACCAATCTGACAGCACGATCAGAGAACATTCATGAGAAAACATGGCTTCCTATTTTATACCAGCCTTGAAAAGTGAAGAATATAATATTAGATATCACAGCTTACTACCATTGAACCTGCATTGTTTATAATTTTTATTCATCCTCTAAAAATTCTGTCCTTTTCTTCCTTCCTTCCTTCTTCTCTCCCTCCTTTTCCTTTTCCTTTTTTCCACAACCCAGTGGTTCACAGGAGGTGGTAAGAAATATCATCATCCCCAGAGGATGCTGGCAGGCCTCTTTCCTGAGAGACACTGCCCAAATACAGACATGCTGACCTCCAACTGTTAATTAGCAAAACATGTATAAGTTCACAGAAATTATCAGTTATTTGTGTGGTGAGACAATTTATAAATTTGGCTGGTTGAAAACTAGATCAAGGAAGCAATAATATATAATGCAAAAAAAAAAAAAAGAATGTTAACCTGGCGCTGTCTTCATTTATAGTCAGTTAGACATAGGCTTGTTACTAATAAAGGGAATGTATTTTTCAAGATGCACAAAACCAGAATGTCAGTTTATTAAATTACAGTGAAATATAAAGTTTACAGACTGGAAATAGTAATACTGACATGAC